GTGGACGAGAGGTAGAGCCGCCGCAGGAAGCACGGCACGCGGAGGAGGTGACCCCAGACGGCGGAGAACGTGGCGGGGTCCTGGGGACGCCTGGGCGAGCTCTGCTGTGGCTGTTCGTGCTGCCGCTGACACCAGGCTGTACGAGAGTGTGTGTGTCAGCAGGGAGGCGGCTGGTGACGGAGACGGAAGCCGCACCTACCGCGTCTAGTCCACGATTCTCCGCCTGCTTAGTTGGGCAAAAGCGTAAAGGCGCTTGCAAAGCTGTCCGGGTGAAGAACCCTCGCAGACAGACTTACGGTTTCCCCCCCGATCTCACGTAGGCTTTCCACGCGCGTTCCCTTTTCTTAGGGCTCACCTGTACCGTGCCTTCCTGGGGGCCCCTTCTCTCTGCACTCACGCTGCACTGTCCCACTTGGGATTTAATTCCCTGAATCAGCACAGCAGCACGTGAACTGGCTTGTGGGTGAGAATCAGGGGCAGGACACCCCTGAGCCATGGGAGGGCTGGTGGCCCCCAGGGGAGCGCGTGACAGCGTGAGGGTCCGCAGTGTGACTCATGGAGGGAAGGCGGGGGCGAGGGGTCACCTCACCACCGAATTGACGAGAGTAAGTTCCCGTACCTGTGTCCAGTTGAAAAGTAGCGTTTCAAGTAGAACCGTTTCATTTTTGGTGATTCTTCATGGGACAGGTTTGCTGTTTGTATCCGATCCTGCCCCGCTTATCGTATGAACTAACAGAGGAGTCACAGAAAATTCATCTATGGGAGGCATATAGTGTGAGGCAAAAAAAAAAAAGGCAGAAAAGAGACAGGTGCACCCCTCTCCCCCCCGCCCCCCGTGTGTAAGAGCATCACAGAAACTTGAAACGCGGGGAGACGGGGGTGAGGGAAGGAAGGGCCGGGGCCAGACGGCGCCGAGCCGGGCTGGGTCAGAATGACCGAATCGGCTGCCGGCGCAGCGTCCCCTGGCTCACCACCCGTGCTCGCTCGCAGGTCCTGGCCGTGAGGATCGATGATCTGGACCACCTCCCGGAGACCACCACCATCGATGCCTCCTCCATCGGCATTGTCCAGGTGCGCACCGAGCAGGCCCGCAGGGTGGGGCGGAGGGGCCCAGACGGGTGCTGCGAGGGGCCTTTGGGCAGGGCCCCCAGTCCCTTCCTTTCACCGGCATCTCTCGTTTTCTAGTAGGTTCTCTCTCCCAAGGCTTTTTGGAACGTCTCCTAGTTTCTGTAACGTTTCCAGAACTTCAGTCGTTTTCAATACTGAGGTATCTCATTTTAGAGAATAGATAGCAATCTTCAAGCTCCCTGGAGAAGCGGTAGGGGGTGTGGGTGTAGAGACAAAGTTAGGTTTATTTTAAGGAATTGGCTTATGTGATCGTGGAAGCTGGTAAGTCCTAAATCTGCAGGGCGGGTGGGCGGGCTGAGACCCAGGGAAGAGTTCACGCTGTAGCTGGAGTCTGACGGCTGCCTCGAGGCACAGGTCCCTCTTCCCCAGGGACCTCAGGTTTTCCTGTTAAGGCCTTCGACTGATTGGGTGAGGCCCACCCATACCATAGGGGGTCATCTGCTTTACTGGGAGTCCACTGATTTAATGTCAAGCTCCTCTAAAAAACACCTTCACAGCATCTTCGCTGGGCAACCAAACACCCAGGTGCCCTAGCCCAGCCTCAGTGACGCATAAAATTAACTATCACGGTTTCCATAAAAGCTTAGCATAATTAGATTGTGGTAACCAAAATAACTTTATTAGATGAACTTTTAGCCAACGTCTTCATAAAAATGGTTTTTTCTTGTAAAGGGAATATGCCATGCTCTTGATTCCTTTAAAATCACGTTCACATCCCTGTACTGGAAGCGGTGCTTTGAGCACAGTGCTCAGGTGCTGGGCCGTCGTGAGTGAGCAGAGGAAGGCCTGGGGTGCACCAGGGGCCCACGACCCACGTCCAGCCCCTGTGAGGGCAGCCCCACGATGGCCTGGCCCTGGCAGGCTTCCTCTGGGTCTGTCACTGGGTGGGATCCTGTCACCTGGGATGGCATCAGGGGCCCAGGAGACGTGGTCGGGGACTAGTCTGGAGGCCTTGCCAGCCACCACTGCTCAGTGGCCTCTGCGATGCTGAGCTCAATCGTGGCGTCAGCCAGGTTCAGGAGGCCGGCCACAGTGTGGCAGTGCGCCCTGGACGGGTGCAGAGAAGTGCGCAGGGCACCTCTCTGGGGTCGCCATTATGGCTGGCCACCATTGCTGTCCCCAGAGGAGGTGACCGTAAAGTTCTTGGGGTCAGAGCCATCCTGACGATCCAGGATCGTTTGTCTCGTGCATTCGCTTCAGCCTGGGGGTGGAAGCGTGGACACGAGAGGCATTGCAGCCTCGGGCCGAGCTCACCAGGCCGAAACGCTGGTCCGCGTGCCAGCGCGAGACGCGGCTCTTAGAAGTACGACTTCTGTGTGATTTTCTTCACTGAAAAGAAAGTGAACCCGGCAGGAACACGCCCCAGCCCCTGGAGGCGCAAAGGAGCAGACACACCGCGGTCACTGTTCCCTGCAGCAGCGTGGTGGCCTAGGGAGGTGGCCGGGACAGTGCTGGGAGCCCCGTGGCCACTCTGGGGACACGCCCCAGTGACCCTGACGTTGATGAGCCTTCTGTCGCCGCAGCCTGAGCTGAGTCTGGAGCAGGAGGAGCTGGCCGAGGGCAAGCACGCGAAAGCTGCCAGGAGGGCCCACAAGAGGAAGCAGAAGCCGGAGGCGGAGGCGGCCGGCGCCCCGGTGCCCGAGGAGGCCGCCTTCAGCGAGTACTCGGAGAAGGAGCCCGTGCTGTCCGGCGTGGGTGACGAGACCGACTCTGCGGTGCAGAGCATCCAGCAGGTGGCCCCCTTTCCGCCGCGCGCCGCACATGTTCCTGCGCACACGCCTGACTCGGGGGCGGCCCCTTGGTGGCCCGCGGCCCACGTAGCCTTAATCCCGGGAGCTCGTGCCAGCTGCGCGAGTCCCAGCTTAGAGCTAGACGTCACACCTGTCGTCGTGAACAGTGGTGTGACCGTAGAGTGTGCGAGGGACAGCCGGGCCCGCCTGGTTGGGGATCAGGTTGTTTCTGGGAGGTTAGAAGTGGCCTCCATGTGTTCCTTCGTCACGGAAGTGGGCCCCCCCCGCCCCGGGAGGGATGCAGGGACCCCCCAACCCCGGGAGGGATGTAGGGACCCCCAGCCCCGGGGG